GAAGCTGCGGCTCCCGTGGGATTTCTGCACGCTCCGCTTCAGTCCTGAGTGTAATTTTAGCTCTTCCTTTATGTGAAGCGTAAACTGCAGCTCAGTTCTTCCCTCGGCCAGCAGCACTGAGAGTAATGGAGAAGTGTTAGGACGGATACGAGGCCTTGAACACGTACTGATGGGGATTCACGCTTTGATGTATGCAAATCTGTCCACCGAACACACCGTCAACGTGACGCAACACGGCATGCTGGGAAAACCAGCTTTGATTACAGCCAACAGCCAGAATATTCATCCTGATGACATTACATTTCCAACAATAGAAATCAATGCTGTAGTTAATAGTGATGCTTACACTGAAGCTTTGTTTCAACATCCTAACTGCACTTCTACATACAGTATCTAGGCAGCATCTCTGTGTCATACAGCTATAGCAGAGGAACGCATATACGACTCTCTTCACAGCTGATTTAAATAGAGTTTAATGTTTGCATGTTCTGAAAAAATCTTGATAGTCCTATCATAAAAAAAATACTGCACAGGAATTGGGTAAACAGTCTGTTTTGCAGAGTTTTCGATTTATTTATGTATTTATTTATCTTTTTTTTGGGGAACTGATGGCTTTTATATTGCCTTTAATGAGGCTATGGAATATGTCATAAAGCATGGCTAAAAGCCAAATAAAAAAATAAAAAAATGATGGAAAAATATAACATTATAGTGTTAAATAATGCTTAATTATTCAAATTATATGTATATAGGTTGGTGGATGTCTCTTCAGGATTATGGTTAGTTTATTTCTTCACACAGACTTCTATCTCTACACAAGTGAAATATCATAGTACTTCTGGAAAGTGGAAGGGTTGATATGCTCATGTTAAAATATTTGGTGGTTTTGTGGTCACTCACTCGCTCGCTCACTCTCACTCACTCACTCTCACTCACTCTCACTCACTCACTCACTCTCACTCACTCACTCACTCACACTCACTCACTCACTCACTCACTCACTCACTCACTCACTCAGTCACTCACTCACACAACACACTCACACACACACACTCAC